CAGCAGAGACAACATCAGCAGCAGCAGAGACAACACCGGCAGCAGCAGAGACAACATCGGCAGCAGCAGAGACAACATCGGCAGCAGCAGAGACAACATCGGCAGTAGCTGAACCATCAACGGCAGCAGCAGGAACGTCAACACCAATTGCTGGTCCTTCAACGACACCGCTCCTCATCGACGACACACCACCAACACCCGCGCAACAACTACACCCAGCACCACGAGAAGTTCATCGTAGCGCCAACTTCACCGCCAACTTCTACTCCAACTCCGATATGTACCGACGATCACCCGGACATCGCGCCGACGAAAGCACCTGGCACGCAAGGATGGGACACCCAAGCAACACAGTATTAAACAATACGATAAGAGCAGGAGTACTCGACAAGGACTCACTCCTACTGACCGACGGACGAGAACTTCAACGAGTACGCGGAACGTGCTTCACCTGCCCTGAAGGTGACTTACCACATCGACCGTTTGCGTCTCATCACAACCCGAGCGCACCCGCGTACGCACCAGTCGAGAAGGTGTATAGCAACATCCTGTTCAATCGGGAACCAGGACAAGTAATATACAACTGTACAATCACCTTCATCGACGCCGCCACCCGTTACGTCTGGCACCTAAACCTCCCTAGCCGCGACATGGCATTCGAAGCCTTCGTTGCCTGGCTACCAGTAGCAGAGAGATAATCGGACGTGAAACTGAAAAGCTTCCAGTCCGACGGAGGAGGAGAATACACCTCTCAGCGATTCAAGCAGTACCTGGCGGAAAGGGGAATTAAGCGACTCATCTCCCTTCCCTACGCCCATCAGCAGCAAGGTGTAGCAGAAAGAATGAACAGGACCTTGCAGAACAGCATGCGCAAACTGCTACGTGGCATGCGGCTACCCAACCACCAGTGGCCTGCGGCAATGCACCACGCCGTCATGCTGCACAACTTGCTCTCGTCATCATCGCTTCCAAACAACGCATCACCGCATCTGCTATGGACGGGGAAACAGGGCAGCACAAAAATGTTACGAGTATTTGGATGCATGGTACAGTACCGACCCCCAGCAGCATGAGTGGGCCGATTTTCTCATCGAGCACAGTGGGGACTACACCTGGGCATCGAAAAGAACTACAACGCGTGGAAAATCTTCGACGTCCACTCAAAGGAAACTGTAGCAGCATGTGATGTAATTTTCTATGAACGACTCACGCTCCAGACATACCTTGCCAACCTGCAAGAAGACCAGGATCCCACAGGTGGTTTTCGCGGTGACCGAGCCTTTGCCTCAGCAGCGGACGAAGCTGACTGGGACGAGCAGCATATGGAGAACGCATCAGAAGAAGCCGGACCTCTTCCGTTCTGCTCCGTCGACGTTCCCATGGACGAAGATAACCCTCGCGAAAGTGTCAACGCCGAAACCTTCTACCATTTCGCCGACAACGGTTACGTAACACCTGCAACAGTCAACACCAACGAAGCAGAACGAGTAGGACCAAACTTCATACTTGATCCAGAAGCGGGAGATGAAGCAGCTTATCCCGAGGACACAAATCTTCCCCGCTACTCACAGAGTGGACTGCAAATTCTCGGACTCGTCACCCCAGTCCACGGCACTGCCATTCCTAAAGAGCCTGCGACAGTTCAACAGGCTCTAGGGGGGGAGCATAAGGAAAAATGGCGCGAAGCCATGGACAAGGAGCTGAAGGCACTGGAGGAACGCAACACGTGGAAAGTGGTTCCTATCGGCGTGGCACGGAACAAGACACTGCTCACCGGGAAGTGGGTCTTCCGTGTGAAGACAAAGGCTGACGGCACCATTGACAAATTTAAAGCTCGCTGGGTTGTACGCGGCTTCGACCAAGAACATGGACGAAACTTCACCGAAAATTTCGCTCCGGTTAGCCGCCACACCTCACTACGCATTCTCCTCGCAATCGCCGCCATGAAGAAGAAGATGCGACAAATTGACGTCGCGAACGCGTTTCTCTACGCACCTGTTGATGCAGAAATTTTCGTCGAGCTACCGCACGGCTCCCACAGAGAACCCAACTAAGTCTGCCTACTACTCAAGTCACTCTACGGCATCAAGCAGGCTCCGCGACTGTGGCAACAGTACCTGCATGCTCGCCTCATCCGCATCGGCTTCAAGCAAGTACCGCACGATCAAGGAATGTACCGGCTCACAAAAAATGACGACTACATCCTACTAATCGTCTACGTGGACGATCTCCTTTACATCGGCTCAACTGACGGCATCACTACCTGGTTTGAAGGGGAGCTGCGTCAAGATCTCACGCTCACAGTTTCATCTACCGTCACTCAGTACCTCGGCCTCAACATCCGGGAAGAGGAGGACGCGATCTACCTCAGCGCCGAGAAATATGCTGACACTATCGCTAAACGCTTTACGCTCAAACCGACAGCCATCTCCACGCCATACCAATACACGGCAGGGAACGACCAAGGAAGCTCCGCTCTACTTAAGCCCGCCGGCATACGAGACTGCCAGAAGAAGCTGGGATGTCTTCTCTTTGCAGCCGTCACCTGTCGCCCCGACCTCTCATACTCCGCAAGCCAGCTCGCCACCTACCTCAAGAAGCCTGAAGTAGAACATCTGGCGAAGCTCGACCGCGCTCTTCACTACTTCGTCAGCACGCCAACGATCGGCCTAACTTACTACAAGAACGCAACCACACCGACTAAGTTAATCGGCTACGTCGACGCTGATCACGCTGGCGTCTCCGACAATAGGCGCTCCCGCACCGGCTACATCTACCGTCTCGAACCTATCGGACCTATCTCTTGGCAATCGAGCAAGCAGGAATTAATTGCTCTCTCGTCAGCTGAAGCAGAATATATTGCACTCTGCTCAGCCACCAAGGAAGGACTCTATCTTCGCGAGCTGCTGGAAGAAGCGAAGTTAGCCGAGTTACCCAACTTTACCCTGTTCTGCGACAACCAGTCGGCAATTCGCGTCGCCAACAAGAACGGCTTCGCGAACAGGACGAAACACATCGCCCTGCAATATTTCTTCGTGAAGGACGAGATCGCGAAGGGAAGGCTCGAGCTGTCATATTGTCCCACGTCCGAGATGGCAGCTGACTACCTGACCAAGAAGCTCGGAAAGCAGAAGTTCGAATACTGCATGCTGCTGACTGGACAGAGCCACGTCAGCGACACTCCAGAAGCGAAGGGGAGTGTTGGAAACAATCGGTCCTAAGCGCCTCTGTCGTGTCGAAACACCAAGACACAAGCGAAGCAAAACACTATCGAAGCACCAGCGAGTCAACCCTCGGAGGTTGAAGTAACTGTCGGAGGTTACGCGAAAGTCAAAGGTCAGCAACCTTTGACCTGACAAATACAGCGCGACAGCAAGGACACACAACTGGCTCTTTACAGAGCAGTTGCCCGAGTCGTCACTGTATCTAACCGCAACAGCAACAGTAAAGTAGTTATAACAGTGTCTTTCATATTCCCTGTATTCATATATAATCTTGTATCTCTTTGCTTTAATCAACTTACTTTGCCCTCACATACTAGCGCAAGGTGGTTCACAATCCTTTAATCAACGCTTCCGCTACTACACCAACTCTACCCGGAGTTCACCCCTGCAAAGATCCTAAGGGTTTTTCAGCCCAACAGTATTTGCATGTTTTCATCATCTCAAGCATTTACATTCACTCTGCTATTGAGGTCAAGGGCCCACCACCACTAAATCAGTAGTCTGCGAACCTTCCTGAGGTGATCCTGAGAACGATCAACTTCTGATCGCAACAGAATGTAATAAATCTAATGTAATAATTGAAACAATGTACGGTAGGTTTGGCGTAGTATCTAGTACAATTACAATAATCACGTACAATGTTTTTTCAATGATGGTGGTTATAGGGAGCCATTTCAAGACAGGTGTGGACCAATTTCGGATGTAGCATGTACTGTTTTCAATGTGATGCCATTAATGCTTCTGACATTATTGACGTTGTAAAGGGAATGTTTCAGCTGTGAAATGAGATAACTAAACAATCCATGTTATCGACACTTCAGATTGGTAGAGGAGACACTTACACATGACACATTCCGCGAACACACATTTCGCTCTACTTCATGCGACCTGATTTCTGCTGACATGAGATACTTGACGGCGGGAACAAGCACAGGTTTTCCATGAGATATCCTAGCTCCCGCACCGCATCTATTGCCTTGCCTTGCGTTGTCTCTTGTTTCCTCGTGGCTTTCCTGGCTTTTCATCGTCGCTGTCTTTCCGTGCTCGCTGTCGAATCTTCCTGCAGCCTTCATCATTTCTATCCGCGGCACGGCTTCTTCTCGAGCATTGTTGCGCCCACTGCAGTGCACGTGCGGGTGAGACACGCCTGCCATCTGCCAAACAGACATGGAGAGTTCGCGGAGAGGCTTAGCGGAGCTGCTGGCGCCGTCCCCGATACAATCCGCTCCGCTTTTGGAGATTATCACTTTGGAGGATTTCGAGTGTGGAGTAAGGGAGCGGTGCGGGCGAGATGCGGTGCCAGCGCAACACGCGGCGGGATTTCAGGAGGATTTTCAGGCGGATTTTCAGGCCGCCGTGAATTTTATTTTGCGGGGAGACGCTGATGGGGGGACTGACGGGAAGGGAGCGCGTTCGGCGGCGGAAGAAGCGGAAGGGCGGTTGGAGGAGGAAGGCGGGGGACTTGTGACAAGACAGGGAAGAGACTTGTTGGATGAGAGCGGGGATGTGGTGATGTCGGATCGAAACACTGAAGAGACTTATACCGCGGATAAGCTTCCCATGCCGTCCACCAGTGGGAGATGGACACGTGGAGGATATCTCGACCTTGATCGTATCAGCGATTTCCTGGATTTGCAGATGGCAAAGATCAGCGAATCTAGAGCTCCTAGACGACAAGATTTGGGCGGCACAAGTAACAGGAGTAGCATCGGCAGTACCATAACCAATCCCGCCGCGGAAGGCCTAATAGGCAGATTAGGACCGCCTATAGTCTACATGGTACGTAGCTCGTTCTCTGGGGAGATTAAGGTGGAAGGGGGCGGGCCATGGGGGCCGGCGGAAAGGGCGGGGGGAGGGGCGGAAGGGGAGGCGGAGGGTGGGGGTGTGGGGAGCAGCCGCGGGCGGGGGATTGCAGATGCTGCTGCGGCGCTGCGGAGCATATGGGCGGAGGAGGACATGGAGGGGGTTGAAATCGAGGGGATCGAGTGGGCAGGCGCAGGGGGGGGCGCAGGGGGGGAAGCGGGCGGAGGGGGAAGTGGAGGCGGGGGGGTAGGATGGGAAGGGTTGTTGCTAGAGTCCCTGGGCAGAGCGGGAGCAGCAGCAGCAGGAGGAGGAGCAGGAAGGGGAGCAGCAGGGGGCCGGTCAAGAGGCAGAGGCAGTGCACGAGAGGACCTAGGAGGCGGCCTGATTCTCGAATCCCTAAGCAGTTTCAGCAGCGCGCGCGCCAATGTGTGCGTCTACTCGGGCAGGTGGCAGTACGAGGCGACTCTAGGCTCCTCCGGCATTCAGCAGATTGGCTGGGCGACATTGGCGTGCCCGTTCACGGCAGAGGAGGGCGTGGGGGACGCGCCTGACTCGTATGCTTTTGATGGGAAGAGGGTGCGGAAGTGGAGTGGGTGGTCCGCGCAGTATGGGCAGCCGTGGGCGGCGCATGATGTGATTGGCTGCTGTATTGACCTGGAGGGGGATGGCGGTGTGGCGGGAGGAGAGGGTGCAGGTTCGGAAGCTGCTGCTGCTGCTGGTGGTAGTACTGCTGCTGATGCTACTGCTGCTGCTGGTTCTGCTGGTAGTGTTGGTGCTGGTGGTGGCAGAAGGAGTGGCGGTGGTGCTGGTGCCGCTGGTGCTGGTGCTGCTGGTAGGGCATCCAGTGGTGGCACGGCAGTGGGGAGAGTGACATTCTACCGCAACGGGGAGTGTCTGGGAGTGGCCTTCACAGGAGTGAAGGCGCTACAGAGGGGCCTGGCCTACTTCCCAGCCATCTCCATCTCCCACGGGGAGCGCTGCGAGCTTAACTTCGGTGCCCGCCCGTTTCGTTACCCGGTTACCGGGTTCCTCCCGCTGCAGTCGCCACCTCGCCTGTGCTGGCCCATGCCCTCTGCTGCTACAGATGCAGTGGATGCTGCTGCTGGTGCTGCTGCCACGGCTGCTGCCACGGCTGCTGCCACAGCTGCTGCCACAGCTGCTGCCACAGCTGCTGCCACGGGTGCTGTTACTGCTGCCCCCGCTGCTACAGATGTTGCTGCTGCGGCTTCTGCCCCTACCGACAGTGCTGCTGCTGCTGCTCCCGTGCATTCGCCTCCACCTCCCATCGACCCTGCCTCACTCCCCACCCACGTCGGTCACTTCCTCCTGCCTACCCTGCAACCCACCTCGCCCCACCCGCACTCCCATCTACGCACAGCAGACAGCGCAGCAGGTGCCCCTCGCGTTGCAGACTTGGATGCAGCTGCGTGCTCCTCCTACCTCCTCCACTGCCTTTCTCGCCTGCTGCACCTCACCTCCCTTCCCTCCTCCCTCCCCTCCTCGTTCTCCTCCCCTGTTCCACATACCTCCTCCTCCTCGCTCCCCCACAGCCCCCCATCGAGCCTGCCATTCCGAACCTGTCCGCTAGGCCCGGATGACGAGGTTCTCCTGGCGGAGCTCCTGTGTGAGAGGCTCGGGCCGTTGCTGCTGGCAGGGGGGGCACGAATGGAGGTGCAGAGACAGATGGGGAGGAGGGCGGGGGAGGGCAAAGGAGGGGGGGGAGTGGCAGAGGGTGTGGGGTGGGTGCGAGGGGGGTATGCTGTATGGGCCTCCCTGCTGCCTCTACTCCTCCAACTGGCGCCCAGACAGGGGCTAAACACAGGTGGGGGGAAGCAGGGTGCAAGCAGACACAGTCCACAGCAGCAGCAGCAGCAGCAGCAGCAGCAGCAGCAGCAGCAGCAGCAGCAGCAGCAGCAAAAGCAGCAAGGGTGGAGGATGGTGGACGGAGTAATGGACTCGCTTCACCTGTGTCTGGAGGACCATGAGTGGTCCGGGATCATCCCGGCCCTCATGGACGCCCTAGCCTTCCACTCCCGAACCTCCCTCGTAGGTTCGGCTGCGTTCACAGTGCCGAACCTAGCCGGTGCAGGAGCAGAAGCAGTTTCCGGCTCGGGAAAACCCCCAGAGGTTTGGCAAGAGGGGCGGGATCCGTACCTGTACCTATCCCTGGCCTGCCACTTAGCTAAGCGACAGGAGGTGCTAAGCGCATGGTGGGCAGCAGACGGATTCTCCTCCAATCTAGAGGCATTCTTGACCCGCAGAGTAGCCACAAGGGTGGATCTGCAGAGGCTGTTTCCCTCGCTGTGGTGGGCTGGCTGTAAGGAGGACGACTGCAGCGAAGCAGGCTTGGAAGAAAGCAAGAAGGCACTTGTGAAGGCAACGTCTAGGGTGGAGCTCTGCCAAGTGTCGCTCTGCCGCTCTCTCCTCTTCTTTGTACCCTCTAAGAGCATGACCGGGGCTTCGTCGACTTATTCGCTTGCAACTGGCGGCGTGCTTGCACCGTTTCTGAGGAGCCTGATCCGCAAGAACCGGGCGGCGAACAGGAATATTGTGCCGCCCGGGCTCTCGGATAGTAGCGTGCTGGTGACGGCGTTTTTTGTCCTCTTGCGGCTGTTGTGGGCGGGGCTGGTGGGCCGTGGAGGCGGGAAACTGCAGAAGACAAAGAGAGCTGGGGTTTTAAGAGGGTCACATGTCTTAGTAGAATCAGGGAGTGGAAGAGAGGGAGAAGCAGAGGGAATGGAGGTTGATTTTGAAAAAGGAACGTCAGGGAGGGAGGGTAGGCGGGTGGGGAAGGTAGAGAGGGAGGGATGGGAAGTGGAGGAAGAGGAGGAGGAAGAGGAGGAGGAGGAGGAGGGGGAAGAGGAAGAGGAGGAAGAGAGCGAGGAAGTATCAATGCTTCCGTGGCCAAGAACCCCCTCTGGGGCCATTAGGAGCAGCTGGAGGGAGCGACAAGAGGCAAGCAGTGCCTTGGATAGCAGCAGCAGCAGCATAGCAGCTACTACAGCCACTGCCACTGCGGGCACCAGCACAGGTGCCACCAGCACTGCTGCCATCCCTGCAGGGGGTTACCTGCAGCGCCACGGGCGGTGGAAGTTTCCTGTGCCCTTATTCCTGCACCCGGATTTGCATTACTTTGACTTGCCACGCCTGGGCGGGCTCTTTAGCCACGTGGCCAAGACCTTCCCCCTCTCCGCGCCGCAGGACTTTGCCAGCGTGACATGGACTGATGATGACGTGGATGATGATCATTGGGCGGCGGGAGAGGAGGGGGAGGAGGAGGCGGGTGGGGGAACGGGGGAGAGGAGAAGGGAGGAGCGGGGGACGGGGGGAGGAGGTACAGGGGAAGGAGGGGGAGCAGGCGGGGGGAGGAGAGCAGAGGGGGTGCAAGAGAGGGAAATGGGAGGAGGGAGGAGTGAGGGGGATGGAGAACGTGAGGGGGAGGAGAGGGTTGAGGAGAAGGCGGAGAGGGGGAAGGGGGAGGAGGATGAGAGGGAGGTGCTGCTGCTGGACATGGCCGTGCTGCTGTTCCACCTCAGGGGCGTGGGTGCCTTCAAACAGGTCCGTCCGTCCGTCAGTCAGTCAGTCAGTCAGTCAGTCAGTCAGTGTGATTGCCTCACAGGCCATAATGCTCATGCTGTTGGCTGCTTGATAAAAGTAACATCTTGAGACCTGTTTTGGGTCGACTCAAAACAAGTCGACTCAAAATAAAAGTAACATGTTGAGACGTCTCAAAATGTTTTTTTTATCACGTGCGTCCCACACAGGCCATTATACTCATGCTGTTGGCTGCTCCTGCGGCCCGCTGCCACTGCACCCTCCTTCTCTCCCTTCCCCACCTCCTTTCCTTTCCTCTCATCTGCAGGCTTTTGCCTTCTCGTCCTTCCCTTCCATCCTCCCTTCCCTCCGCTCCCTCCCCTCCCTTCTGCCTCCCGCTTCAACCCTCCCCAGGCGGCGCTGCAGCAGCAGGGCATGGTGCAGGCGGTGGCACAGCTGGAAGATGCGGACAGGCAGATCGCCGCTGCCATGGGGGGGCGCACGGAGGGAGGTGCGACAGACGGAGAGGCAGGCGCAGTGGCGGCGACAGGGTCAGGGTCGGTGGCGGGGGCGGGGGCGGGGACGGGGGCAGGGGCAGGGGCAGGGGCAGGGGCAGGGGCAGGGGGGGGGGGGGCGGGGGCGGGGGCGGCGGCAGGAGTAAGGAGAGTGGCAGGGGAAGAAGAGGGGGCTGTCGTGGGTGCTGCAGGCACTGGTGCAGCAGTAGGGGCGGAGGCACCCGCAGTGACAGCAACAGTGGGACTTGTTGGAGCACCGGGGGGAGGTACAGCTGCGGCTGCAGCCAGGGGAGGTACATCCGGGGGAGGTACATCCAGAGTGGGCGTGGGAGGGTCAGTGCGGGCGCAGCAGCTGAGGGAGGCGAGACAGGTGTTCCGAGAGGACGTGGATGAGAGTGTGAGGCTTGCAGTGTGGTGGAGAGCGGTGTTGGGCGGTGCTGCGTGGAAGCAGAGGGCGCTGGTGGGGGTGAGCAGGAGGGTGGGCTCGCTGCTGCTGGCTGCCAGCAAGCGGGGCCACATCTTTGCCTACGTGCCCGAGGTCTATTTGGAAGCAATGGTGCGTTGCTGTCTATGTTGAGGGCATATGGGTTACTGTCTTGTGTGATCATGGTATGGGGTAGAGAAGAGTGGAACTAGCTGCTGCCGGCTGCCAGCAAGCGGGGCCACATCTTTGCCTACGTGCCCGAGGTCTATTTGGAAGCCAGGCGGGAGGTGTACTGGAAGCCAGGCGGGTTGCTGTGTGAAGCGCTGACGAAGGCCATCGGCCGAAACACGCGTACGCTCAGTCTTGGAATGACAGTTTCCTTGCTTCCGTAATCCCTACTGAGCCTAGCATAGATTAGTGGAGAATAGGACGAGCGAAGTCTGGTGATGTCTGGTGATGTCTGGTGATGTCTGGTGATGTCTGGTGATGTCTGGTGATGTCTGGTGATGTCTGGTGATGTCTGGTGATGTCTGGTGATGTCTGGTGAAGTCTGGTGAAGTCTGGTGATGTCTGGTGATGTCTGGTGATGTCTGGTGATGTCTGGTGATGTCTGGTGATGTCTGGTGATGTCTGGTGATGTCTGGTGATGTCTGGTGATGTCTGGTGATGTGGGTCGAATCTACCCTTATCTGCTGCCATGGTGTCGGGATGGCGCATCTTTTGACTCGTTTCTCTTCATCCCTCCATCTGCTTCCGCAACCCTCACCCCTTCTCTCCCACCTTTCCCACCGCCCCTCTTCCCGCACCCCTTTTCCCCCATGCCGCCGTGTCCTTCATGTCGCCGTGTCCTTCATGTCGCCGTGTCCCCCATGTCGCCGTGTCCTTCATGTCGCCGTGTCCTTCATGTCGCCGTGTCCTTCATGTCGCCGTGTCCTTCATGTCGCCGTGTCCCCCATGTCGCCGTGTCCCCCATGTCGCCGTGTCCTTCATGTCGCCGTGTCCTTCATGTCGCCGTGTCCCCATGTCGCCGTGTCCTTCATGTCGCCGTGTCCTTCATATCGCCGTGTCCTTCATGTCGCCGTGTCCTTCATGTCGCCGTGTCCTTCATGTCGCCGTGTCCCCCATGTCGCCGTGTCCTTCATGTCGCCGTGTCCTTCATGTCGCCGTGTCCTTCAAGTCGCCGTGTCCTTCAAGTCGCCGTGTCCTTCATGTCGCCATGTCCTTCATGTCGCCGTGTCCTTCATGTCGCCGTGTCCTTCATGTCGCCGTGTCCTTCATGTCGCCGTGTCCTTCATGTCGCCGTGTCCTTCATGTCGCCGTGTCCTTCATGTCTCTTGCCCCTGCAGATCGAGGCCTTCCATGCCTTCAGGCGCTGCGACCCGCCACTCTTCCGACTCCGCCACTCCGTGCATCACCTCGCTCCCTTCGTAAGCCCGACAACATCCATCAGGCTTGACCCTCTTACCACCTGCACCTGCACCTGCACCTGCACCGGCATGGTTGCACCTGCACCTGCACCTGCACCGGCATGGTTGCACCGGCATGCCCTCTCACTCTGATCCCCCTCTTCGAATCTCCATCCCGTTACCCGACTTTCTCGCTCTTGCGCATACCCCTCCTTCTGTCTTCAAGACATACCCCTCCTTCTGTCTTCAAGACATACCCCTCCTTCTGTCTTCAAGACATACCCCTCCTTCTGTCTTCAAGACAGGAAAAAAACCCCATTTTACACTCCCACTCTCTAATGCCCTGTCCGTGCATGTGTGTAACTCTCTCTCGCAGATATCTTTCCTGCTCACGCGGTTCAGCGATGCAAGGATCGCCAATCCAGACACCAGAGACCAGCTGCTGCAGACGCTCTCCGTGCTGCTACAGCTGCCGCCCTTCTCCGTCGCACTAGAGACAAACAAGGCCGCCCGCACATGCTTCATGCCCAGCCTTCTCAACGCATTTGACCAGCGCTTCTGGATACCCGTCTCTCAGGTATTTCCTCAGGTGTCTCTGCCTCTCAGGTATTTCCTCAGGTGTCTCTGCCTCTCAGGCATTTCCTCAGGTGTCTCTGCCTCTCAGGTATTTCCTCAGGTGTCTCTGCCTCTCAGGAGGGTTCTGTCTCCCAGGTGACTCCCCATTGCCTTCACGCATATGCTCCTCCTCTTTTTCACAGCTCAGCAATTTCTTTCAACCCATTTCACGCCTCCAGGAGATTCGCCTTCTGATCTTTTGATACACAACCAGCTTGCACCTCTCTCCGTTGATACACAACCAGCTTGCACCTCTCTCCGTTGATACACAACCAGCTTGCACCTCTCTCCGTTGATACACAACCAGCTTGCACCTCTCTCCGTTGATACACAACCAGCTTGCACCTCTCTCCGTTGATACACAACCAGCTTGCACCTCTCTCCGTTGATACACAACCAGCTTGCACCTCTCTCCGTTGATACACAACCAGCTTGCACCTCTCTCCGTTGATACACAACCAGCTTGCACCTCTCTCCGTTGATACACAACCAGCTTGCACCTCTCTCCGTTGATACACAACCAGCTTGCACCTCTCTCCGTTGATACACAACCAGCTTGCACCTCTCTCCGTTGATACACAACCAGCTTGCACCTCTCTCCGTTGATACACAACCAGCTTGCACCTCTCTCCGTTGATACACAACCACCTTGCACCTCTCTCCCCCACCCACCACCCAGATTCTCCTGCGTCTCTGTGTGACCAACCCCTTCGGAGGCCCCTCCAGCTTCCCCTCGCTCTCCCTCTCCTCCTCCTCCTCCTCCACGCCCTCCCTCTTCGCGCCTCTCTTCCAGCACTCCCTCCACCAGCTCTACCTGCACCAGCCGAGCCTCTTCTCTCCTTTCCTAAACCGCCTCTTCAACACTCTCAACTGGACTCTCACAGAATTCCTGGTGGCTTTGAAAGAGGTGCAGGACTTGCAGCAGCAGGAGGAGGAGCAGCGGCGGCGGCGGAACCGGCGGCAGCAGCAGCAGCAGCAGGCGTGGGAGCTGCAGCAGCGCAAGTGCAGTGTCATGTTTGACCTTACTTGTAACCTTGCTAGGCTTTTGGAAGTTCTCTGTGAGGCTTCTCCGGAGGTTTTTCTCTCTTTGAAGGGGGGAGGGGGCCGGGAAAAAGGGGAGAAGGCTCTAGAAGGGGGTGAAGCAGGAGGAGCAGCAGCAGCTGCGGGAGGAGGAGGAGAGGGAGGAGAAGGAGGAGGTGAAGGAGAGATGCAAGGAGTTTCAGGAGGAGAAGAGGGGAGCAGGGCCAGGGTGGAGCTAGTCACTCAGGGCGAGGGAGAGGGAGGAAGAGAGTCCATTGAAGCTGAAGGAGAAGCAATGACAGCACTTGCACCTGCCACCACTCCTGCTTCCTCCACATCCCCTGCGCCGTCTGCATCCTCTGCTCCCTCTGCATCTGACTGCTCTCTCGATCCTGAGATGAACCGCATGCGGCTGTTTGAGCTGCTGCTCTTCATCCTCAACCACACGTGCTCCGGTGCTGATGCACGCGCTCTTGACGGGTAAGAATGGTTGAAATCCAGGAACGGCTTGTGCTGTAAAAGGTATTATGAGATGAACCGCATGCGGCTGTTTGAGCTGCTGCTCTTCATTCTCAACCACACCTGCTCCGGTGCCGACGCCCGTGCTCTTGATGGGTAAGATTCCACGAAAACAGCTTAGATTGTGAGGTGAGGTGAGGTGAGGTGAGGTGAGGTGAGGTGAGGAGGGGTGAGACAAGCACTAGACTGCCCCCTCCAGCCCCACAGTGCTCGCTCCACCCATGGTCTAGCGTTCCATGTCCCAATGCCCTGCACTCACCGCAGAGTCCTGCGGTGAGTGCAGACCGCTCCTCCCTCTCCATGGTGCTCGCTCTCTTCATGTGCATCATTTCCCTGCCTTCCTCCCTCCCTTCCTCCCTCCCTTCCTCCCTCCCTTCCTCCCTCCCTTCCTCCCTCCCTCCCTTCCTCCCTCCCTCCCTTCCTCCCTCCCTCCCTCCCTCCCTCCCTCCCTCCCTCCCTCCCTCCCTCCCTCCCTCCCTCCCTCCCTCCCTCCCTCCCTCCCTCCCTCCCTCCCTCCCTCCCTCCCTCCCTCCCTCCCTCCTTACCTCCCTCCACTTCCCTCTGCCTCCCTCTCTCACTCCTCAACTGCAGTGTCCTGCAGGACCACGTGTCCCCATCCGACCAATCATCGCGCCCCATGGTGCTCGCCCCCCTCGTGGGCATCATAGGCGGCCTGTTCTCGCATGCTCAGCGGGCCAATGGGACCGCGCCAGCTGGCATGGTGCGGTCGGTGCTACAGGCAGACCCTTCCCTTGACTGTCTGGCCGGGCTGGAGTTCCTGCTGGGGTTCGACTGGGTGAGTGGGGAGGGGAATGTGGGGCGGAATGGGAAAGCTAGTGGGAGGGTGAGGGAAGTGAGGGGGTGGTAGGTGTCCCAACTCACTGTGGGCGACCTGAGGTGGCATTTGAGGTAGAGGGTTTCACTCAGCCCCGCTCCCATCCCCCTGCCGCCTGCGTCTCTTCTAACCCCTCACACCCCTCTCGCCCCACTCACGCCTCTCACCCCGTTATCCTTCTCACCTCCCGCGCCCACCACAGGAGAGTGAGTTCAGCAGCCCACCATCAGCGTGCCTGGCGGATCTGCGCCTCTTTGTGGAGCAGCTCAGGCGGGAGCAGGCTGCTCGCAAGGCGGCAGCAGAGGCCGCTGCTGCTGCCGCCGCTGCAGGTAAGCGTACACGCATGGGCACTGAGTGTTCGCATGGGAGGGAGCTGGCAGCATGGGAATGGGCAGAAAAGGAACGGGCAACATGGGAACTGGCACAGCCCTCTTCCTCTGTCTCCATGCGAGTTTGCCCCTCCCTGCCCCCATCCGCCTGGTCTCACCTCCAATTCACCGCTCCTCCCTTTCCTGCACCTCCCAGGTCGCGGGAAGAAGGGCAAAGAGCACATGCAAGAGCAAGGCACCACCGCAGAGGGGATGGATGGTGCTGCTGCTGGTGCTGGTACATGGGAGGGGGAAGGTGAGGAGGAGGAGGAGGAGGAGGAGGAGGAAGAGGGGGAGATGTGCAGCATATGCTACGCGGCTCCCAGTGACACCCAGTTCATCCCCTGTGGTCACTCCTCCTGTGAGCGCTGTGTGGCACGGCACCGCCTCAACAGCCCCCGCTGCTTCTTCTGCAATGCTGTGATCGAGCGACTGGCGGCGAAGCACTGAGTTAGGACACCTGTAGGAGTGTAGCGAATCTGAGCAGGAGAGCCCTACCTGTGTCATCTGCTATGCTGCTCCCAGTGACACCCAGTTCATCCCCTGTGGTCACTCCTCCTGTCAGTGCTGTGTGGCACGGCACCGACTTAACAGCCCCCGCTGCTTCTTCTGCAATGCTGTGATCGAGCGACTGGCAGCAATAAGTTGAGAAAGAGCGACGAGGCTGAACTCCATACCGTATGTTTTACAAGTTGAAATGGAATGGTCAATGCTGCTGCTTCTGCTTCACCTGCCATGCTGCCTCAAGCAGCGTTCTATTTTGTTTCCGGTGCTCACTCGTTTTTTTCTCGCGGTTCAGCTACAGAAAATCTGGTTGTTGAATGCCTTGCTTGTGTCCTCTCTGCTTTTATCCTGCTGATGGTGTCTGGTTAGTTGGCTTCCATTCATCAGCTGGGTTGTAAATTCGACAGGAAGAATCATTTTTGCAATCAGGCAGCTGCTAGGCCCAGTGCTGGTGCCATGCGTAGTACCTGTATATCCCTGGTGCTATTTCTTGGTCCAGGTTAGGACAAACTGTGCGTAGCAGAGTTAGGGTGGCTGGCTGCAGTGCTGAATGCGAAACTAACGCAGTGATAACGCACACTTTGCCAGCAGATATGGTAGCAGCACAGCCACGTGGGCACTGAAGTGAGTTATCATCCTCACAGCACACGTTGCTGCATGGTGGTCACTAGTGCAAAGTAGGTGAATGTGTGTTACTGTGCAGCGTGGGGGGAGAATGCATGGGAGAGGGTGTGGAAAGGCGAGGCGTGGGAATGGTGAGGATGATGGTGGTGCCGATGGTGCAGGTGGTGAGTCGATGCTTCCTCTATCTGCATGACGCAAGAGAATATGCACCGGCATAGGAGAGAAAAGAACATGCACAGGTTTGGGAGAGAAAGAAATACGCACAGGCACGGGAAGAAAGAAGGTGCATGAGCGTAGGGAAGTGGGAAGCAGTCAAATCATGAAGCGTGAGATGAGGAGCTGAGTTGGGAAGGTATGTCATCCTGACTAGAACTCAGACAAGAACTCAGAGTCTGTGGGAAGGTGTAAACCATTTAGGAGCATGCCCCATGCGCTGTGCCCTGTGATTTGTATCATGAGAGGCTGCATGCAAGTTCCAGCATATGTGCACCGTGCAGTACCCACCTCAACCGTTACGTGAGTGATCCCAACCGCCCGGAATACATCCGAAACCCGCCGCCTCAACAACTGCCGCAGCTGCTGAACCGCCTCCAGCCGCCGCTGCTTGTCCCCGTACTCGCTATAAGCATCTCCATTATGCGCCGCTGCACCTCCCTCCTCGGCCCTATTTTTGAGGCTATCTGGAGAGATGAGCACGTGAATGGAGCCCACTAGCATCTTGGGAGTGAAGGACCAGAAGTGCCGTTGCCGCACCGCCACCACTCCTGCCATCGACTCAATCTGCCATTGGAAATGGGATGATGGTTCGAGCATTTGGAAAAATGCGGAGCATTTGATTGAGAAGGAAAGGGTGTGGGGCATGGGGCATGGAATGGGGCGTG